AAATACAAAAGTTATCCGAGCTTGATTCCTCTAAAATATTTTCGTACTTTTTATAATTATGTGTTTTTTGTTTTAATGATTTGGTCTTTTGATACGCGCACACAAATATATTGGTGCGTTTACTTGTACGATTTCGGTTTTAGTTTTACTATTTTAAATATTTTTTTCGAAATATATCAAATCAAATAGATATTGTTTTTATTTATTATATTATACTAAATTTTAATTTTACATTCAAAACATCGTATCAATACATATTTATATCTGTTGATGTATTTTTTCAACAAACAAAAAGTGAAATTCAAAGATATGGAAAATATCTTTAAACTTGATTAATTAGCGTCTGAGATTAGGAATCTCTAAACATTGTACGGTACATAAAAGAAATTAACTGGAAATTAAATGCTGAAAATTTAAAATGGTGATCCTCGAATCTGACTTTGCTTTGTTAAAGTTGATTGAAGATGGCTTTCTCAGAAAAATCCAAATCCTTAAATCCTCTTTGAAAAACGCTACTGGAAACCGTCGTCCGAACGGTTACAACGTCTCCTTTTCAACCGTCTGCTACCCCTCTCCTGCTGACACGTGTCCTCAACCGACCACAATATCATTCTCACTTATTCTCAATAGAATCCGCCTCTTTGGACCAACTCTGACTTATTGGTCCAGCCGCAGACCTCCCGACTTACTGACCATCCAACTTGTTGGTCCAGCCGCAGACTTCCTGACTTAAGGACCATCCGACCTGCAGACCTCCCGACCTGAGGATCATCCGACCTGCGGACTTTCCGTCCTGAAGACCTTCCGACCTGCGGACTTTCCGTCCTAAGGGCTTTCCGACCTACGAACCTCCCGACCTGAGGACCTTCCGACCTATTGACCTTCCGACCCACTATTTCCTTAGAAATATATCTATTTTTCCTGAGTTTTCCGGGGTGCCCCTCGCCCAGTTCGATCAACTCGATTGCAAGGCCCATTTTTCTTTTTACCTTGGGTTTCTTAACTTAATTTTAAATTTCATACATAACAATATCACATCAAATAATTATTTCAATTCAGAATTTTTATATTCAAAACTAAAATTTCACAAATCATTGTATTTTAATTTTTCATTTGAATTTTAATATAAAAAACAATGATATTTCAAAAAAAAAAATAATATTTTTTTCATCTCTTAAAATTTTACTACTCTTTATTTTTTAATTGTCCGTTAAATTTATGAACAATTCATTTGAAGGAATTAATTTTATTGATTCATAATTTTATTATTTTTGCTTTAGTACATAATAATCAATTTGCAACAATTTTTTTATTCATCTTATCATATTTTTATCAATTATTTGGAGGGTGCTTCTTTTAATCAATTTGATCAAAACTACTGAACGGTTATGCATAGTAATTTGGGTGTGATTGAGACAATTTTTTGTTCCTAGATTGTAGGTAGCTGATACATTAATTACTTTTTAATTATTTTTAAAATTTTAAAAAACGGTCATATTTGCACGGCTGTGCAAAACTATAGTAGAATAATTGTTTAATTATTTTAATAATAACAATTTGATAAAAAAATATTTCCTCCGTCTCATATTTATCTATCCATATGCTTTATTGAATTTTATAAATATTAATATTATATTGAAATATTGTATGAATAAAATAGAAAAGACTAAAATAACATTATGTGACATAAAGGTAATAACATTTGTGTAATATTTTGTAAGTTGGAAGGATATTTATAATGTTAAGTAGAAAATACATTTACTAAAAAAAAGAAATGAATACTTTGTAACGAGACGGATCAAAATAGAAAAATGGATAGATTGTTAAAGGAATGAAGAATAGAAAGTATATAAATGTTATTTTGTAATGAAATAAATTTTTTATATAATATAAATAAATAACTAAACTATAAATATTTATTTATAATTATTGCAATTTAATATTGAAATCACACTATTATTTATTTTATAAATTTAATTTAATACGCATTTATATTACTATTTATGTCCGGCTCTAAATGTCTAATTTACTTTTTGCGTGTTACTCTTCGAATATTAATTATTATATCAAAATGTAGTACAAATAAAAAAAAATTACAAAAATACTTTCATTAGTGTGTTATAACACTAATAGAATGATATTTGTACAAAAAATTGTACAAATATATGATTATTTTTAATGTTAACTACAATAACGCAAAAGGTAAATGTGATCCTTAAACGTAGACGAATGAAGTATTATATTTTTTACCTATCGAATTAATATATGTCAAAACTCCAAACACAAACCAAAAATATAAATCTAAAGGAACACAAAATTCAAACTTTATGTTAAAATTTAAATTCAATCGAAACTCAAACTCAATTGATTCCAACCTCTTCAAAAGAAGTACAACCTTAATAAATTTCCTATACTAATTAAATATTATTATGTGACCCCAAAAATGAATGTTCACACTGTTTTTTTGAGATAAATAATATGTTCAATTAATTTAATTTCTTATAACCTGAGGTACACTTTAAGGATTAGAAGGTCATCCATCTTGAAATTATTATCCTAAAGCAAACATATTTAACTATAGAGTTTCTTCAAGTGTGTTCTAAAAAAGGAACGTGCATATTATTAACATAACCAGTTTAATCAATCCTTTTAAACTCTTATTAACATTGGGGTATCATATCATCACCTACTTAAGAATGCAATGTCCACATTGCATCTCAATGATCTATAAAATGCTTGGCCCCTCAACAGTCCAGTCAACGACTATTGACCGTCGTAGATCATCTCTGATACTACAAGCCACGTAGGCAAAACGTGTAGGGACTATACTGGCCCATAGATCAACACAAGTCTTTCAAACGTACTTTGTCTACTTTCACGCGCACTTTCGGAGACTATCCTAAGGGGTCATCAATCCTGATTACCCTCGAACAAACACACTTAATTGTAAAATTTCTTTTAGTGGATTAAAAAAATATATATATACATTGTTGACTTGAATAATTTTTTCAATTTTTTTAATCTTTTATCAACTCCAAAGGTATTATACATTTTCTCCAATTTATCTTTGTCAATTCTAGGGTATAATATATTATTTTTTAGTTTTTATACTAAGCAAAATTATACTATCTCTGTCATAAAATAATATATTCACTTTTATTAGTTGTTTATCGTAAAAACAAAATAGGATTGTTTCACTTTTAAGTTAAAAATGACATAATTTCTTATATTTTAATTATTTTTTTCATCTTTTGTACTCCCTCCGTCCCATAACAAAGTATTCATATTTTCATTTTAGTCCGTCCCATAACAAAGTATCCATTTTCTTTTTTAGTAACTGTACTGTCTACCTAACATTACAAATACCCTTACAACTTACAATATATTACACAAATGTCATTACCTTTATATCACATATACTAATAAGGTTATTTTAGGCGTTTCTACTTTATTCCTACTATATCCCAATATAATACTAATATTTCTAAAACTATATGCAAAAAGCAAATAGATATTTAGTTTTAGGACGGAAGGAGTACCGTAAAAGATAAAAAAATATACATTATATTAACATTTATATTCAAATGAAACGCGTCTATTTTTAGATAATAAAAAATATACTCCCTCTGTCCCATGAAATTAGTCCAATTTCTTTTAGACACATAATTTAAGAAATAATGTGTTATGTAGTTAATTAGTTTGATTAATGGATGTAATAAAATGTTATATTAAATATTTTTTACTTGATAAAATGTTAAAGTAAAAGTTAAAATATTTTTTTTTTATTTTTAAATATTGAATAATAATTGTATTTATTGTAAATAACTATATACATTTAGATAAAATAAATAAATAGATTTAATGACTTAAATGTAATTTATACAATAAAAAAATGTAATAAAAAAAATTATATAAACAATACATAAAATTTTTCGAATTTGATTGTTGTTAAAGATAGTTCGTTATGATATATCAAATTTAATATCACATTGCATACGTATGGTATAAAATATTTGGTATGATATTTTACCGTACCGTACAAATATTTTGGTATACTGAATTTACGAAATAAAAATAGGAAATAACATGCATACTCGTAAAAAAATATCGAAAAAATTTCAAAATTTTGATACAATATGACTTTTTTTGTATGATAATGATATACAATAAGATATTTTCACTATATATAGATAATTAAAAAAATTGGAATTTTTGTATATACTGATTGTTTGATACAATATCGATATCTTTTTTAAATAAATAAAAAATTTTGGCACGGTATACAATATATTTCGATATTTTTGGTATACTATCTCAAACCATCTCTAACTGAATTATATACACGGTATTACAATATAATATTTTACGGCAAATACCGAAATTAAAAATAAGTTTATAATTTTGCATTATAAATAAGTTCTATTTTTTATTTTTTCTGAACAAAGAAAAAAATATCAATATCAAATTTTATTTTTAATTGATTTTTCAACCATAAATTTTCAAATCAAACATCAAATTTTAATTATATATTACATTAAAATTTAATTTTTAAATTAAATAAATATTTATTTATATAATATTAAATATTTATTTTATTTTTATTATTCAAAATTTTAGTTCAAGTTGTAAATTTACAATTACAAATAGGAAAACTAAAAATATTAGTAAGTTAATAAAATATAGTTAAATTTTTTTAATTAGAAGTATTAGTTATTAATTATTACGATAATAGGAAAATGGATTATTTTTGTGGAACGACTAAAAAAAATGAATTAATTTGATGGGACGAATAGAGTATATAACGTTTTCAAATAGTAATAATAATACATTTTTATTAAAAATTATGATCTCGTAATAATAAAAAAATAATCTAAAAATAAAATAAAACAAATTCTACTAATAAAATTTAGAAACATAGACAAAACAATGTAAACAAACAGAGTGGGTCCCAAATCCGTATGTCTCTCGGCCTTTATTCATTTATTTATAGTCCACACAGAGAGCGCCGCACACCCAACCCAACCTTCATATTTTCTCAGTTTTAATTCAATTCACAAAATGCGAACAATAATCGATTTAGGAAACAGCCAAACAGGGCCTTTCCACGTCATCACCGCCCCGACCTCCGTCGACTGCGCTCGAGAAGTCCGATTCCGGCGATCCTTCCGCCACCTCGTCGAGTGCATGGTCCCTGCCTGCTGCTCCTTCCCTAACTCACCGGAAGATTCTCTCTCCAGCGACACCGATTCCGTCCACAGCAGCGGCTCCGGCGGCGGATCCTCCACCGTGACCTGCACCTTCTTCGGCCACCGGAACGGCCGAGTCAGCTTCTGCATCCAGAACCACACCCGGGGGCCGCCGCTCCTCCTCCTCGAATTCGCCGTCGCCACGTCATACCTTGCCCGGGAAATGGAGCACGGCCTCCTCCGGATAGCCCTGGAGTGCGACCGCCGGCGCCGGAATCTTTGCTCCTCCGATTCTCTCTACGATGTGCCGGTCTGGTACATGTACTGCAATGGACGGAAAGCCGGGTTCGCCGTACGGCGGCGGCTGAAGGCCGGAGACGCGGCGGTTCTGAAAAGGATGGAGTCAATGTCGGTCGGGGCGGGGGTGCTCCCGGAGAACGGCGCCGGCGCCGGCGAGCTTATGTATCTGAGAGCGAGTTTCGACCGAGTCATCGGATCGGCTGACTCGGAGTCGTTCCATATGATAAACCCGGTCGGGAGCTCGGGTCAGGAGCTCAGCATATTCCTATTAAGGTCATAGGAGGTGACGGGACTTGGCATCCACTCAACATTACTTTGTAAACAAATTTTAGGTTTTAGTATCCTTGCCAGTGCTAGGAAGCAGCACTGTAAATCTGTTACCCCTTTTCTTTTTTTTTTTTTTTTTTTTTTAAGTTAGTAATTTGTAAGTGCAAATATTATAATTCGATATGAATACACTACTTACGTGCTTTTATTTATTCTAGTAATTAAGTGAGATTCCCTTCAATAATTCTTAGTTTGTTAAATTGCATCATCTAAGTAAGAAAATATAATGCTTCAGTTTAAAGCATTAATTGGAATATTAATTCCATATTATTGAGTAAATAAAAGGTGTTTTTCAAATGTATTATAGCTCCGTGTACACAACAAAAAATTTAGAGATTTTTTTTTTTTATGCAAATATTAAAAAGTTAATAATTGATTTAATATTTTATAAAAAAATATATTTAACATGATATTTTTGAAAAAATTGATAATATCAAAGTTTCAAATATATTGGCTCGAACAAAGCTTTTGTATTTTTGAGTTATTTTTTTATCACTATAAATTTGAAGGCAAGTTTATATTGAAATAATGTTTTCAATTAAAATTATGTTTTGAATTTAAATAAAATACTCTCTTCTTCACAATATAATTGAACTTTTTCATTACAATATTTAAGAAAATGATATTTAATTATTTAATAATAATGAATTATAATATTATTTTATTATTTTTTATGTAATTAATAATATTAATAGTTTTAAAAAAAATTTAATATATATGATTGAAAAAATTATATCATAATAAAAAATATATATATAATATGAATATCAATTCGTAGAGAATACAATTTTCTATAATATAAGTAAATACAAAATACTTTTATTTATTTATAATTAATATAAACTAATTTCATAAAAGAGGTAAAGTTTTAAATATAGATAAAAATATTTATTTTTTTAGGAGTGATATAAAAATAAAGTGTTTTGAGGGAGTCTATGATTTATGATATTATATGTTATATAGTCAATTAACTTGATTTATATATGTTAAGTATATTTTAATTTAGTAATTTTTACCCAAAATAAAAATATGTCAATTTTTTGGGCAGATAAAATTAAAAAATGTCAATTATTATAAAATAGATGGAGTATATAAGTGTATTTATTTGTGCATGTGTGTTTTAGTTTTTGTAATTTGTTCTCTTACTTTTTTTTGTTAAAAATTAATTAAGATATCTTGTTATACACAGAAATATATATATATATATATATATATAACTAATTGATCTTTGGTTTGTTTGTTTAATGTTTTAGTTCGAGGTAATTTTTTGGTGTGAAGATAAGAAAAATTTTGTTGGATAATATAAAAAATAATATTTTGTATTAAATGATTGATAGTTTAGGAAAGAATGAGGTATATATTATTTATAGTGTATGAATGCCTATAGAATTTGTTTGTTTGGTATTTAGATTTGAAATATATTATCTTATGAGATATAAAAGATTGGGTAGATAATGTAAAAAATAATATTTTATATTATATGTTAGTTTTTTGAGAATTATATTAAAAAAAAATTAATGAAAGAACAAACTAGTTGTATTGTTTTAATTAATATTATCGAAAATTGTGTCCAAACAAAATGATGGGTTTGGGTGAACAAATCCCATACATTTTTACATTTTTACAGGAACTAATAACTTTTAATTGTAAATATTTATTTTTATTTTTCTTAAAAAAGAAAAGAAATTTACTTTAGCTTTGTGTTTATCCTTAGGGGTGTCAAAATTAAGTCAAATCTAAAAAATTGAATCTCACTTGAAATTTTTTAGGTTTGGATTTGGATGTCTCAGGTTTGTAAAAATTTGGATCGATCCAAATCCAAAACCAAAAAAATTCATGTCGTATTTGGATCGAATTTCGGGTTGACCTAATTTTTTTTTTTTAAGTTTATAATATTTATATTATACTCCATCCGTCCACCTCTGAGAGTCACATTTATCTTTTGTGTCATTATATTAACATTAAAAATATCTTTATATTTGTATAATTTTTTTGTACATTGTCCTTCTGTTAGTATTATAAGACACTAATAGAAGTATTTTTGTAATTTTTTCTTAATTTGTACTACGTTTTGATATAATAATTAATATTTAACAACAAAAAGTAAATGAGAACCTTAGAGCCGGACATAGGTAGTATTATAAAATAATATAAATAGTTATATTAAAAATTAATTTTTCTCAGGTAACATTTTTTTAAAAAAGTTTTCGGGTCTGTTATGTGTCGAGTTTGTTTGAGTTTCGAGTGACCTGAAAGTAAAGCAGACTGACTTGAACTTAACCTGAAAAAATTTAATGTCGTGTTCGGCTTCGAATTGACAATTTTTTTGTTAATCCCATGGCTAAGCCCGACACGACCACGACGTGGAAATACTAATTGACATCTCTATTTATATTTATTTGATGTGTTGACATATGTTTTATATTTAAATAATGATTTAATATATATATTTTTTTTTGAGAAAATAATATATTTTAATAAAAAATTATAAAGAATTATATAAATATGACAAAAATGAATATTTCCCTATTCATCCTTAAATTGAAAAAAGGTTGGATAATTAAAAGAGCAGAATTTGACATTTGATGCTCGATAATGAAAATTGGAATACAATATGTGATTTTTTCCTTTTTCTTTTTCAATTTAGCGTTATCACGTGTTTACATTTTGTAAATGTATACATATATGTTTTACTATTCAAAAGAACTATTTCATATAAAAAATATTAAGAAAATAAATACTCCCTTGTCGGACAACAAAATATACATTTATTTTTGACATGGAATTAAAAAATACAAGTTTTAATTACACGTAAGGAGTTGTATAGGGTTTTCTTAATTGCATATAAATGGAGTATAATAGGAAATTAGGTTTTGAAATGGTGATTTAATTACTTTTTATTTTTATAATCGCAGTATAATATTTTGTATGAAAAATCAATATTTTTTATATTAGGTAGAAATTTGAATTATATCGATAATATAAAAAATAATATTTTATATTTAATAGTTAATATTTTGTACTTAAATTAAGTGTATATATTATATATATAATGTGTTAATATATACCTATTATATATATATATTTATAATATTTATGAAAAATCATGAAGAAAAATAGAAAATTAACAAATCAAATGTTGATCACGGTCGTAATCTATTCCTTGCCCTTTTTTGCGAACAATTTTGACCAACGTGCTGTTGTCGGGTATGGTCGAGTTTTCGTATTACTAGCTAGTCGGATCCATGCGCGATGGCCGGGGCTCGCCTATGCATACTGACAAACTGATGTTGATACTACATTCATAATATGAACAAATACGGGATAAGATTACTCACAATATCGCTACAATATCCACTCCCGACTGTATTATCATCATCATATAGAATTTAATTCATTGAATTGGTCCAAGAAGCGAAGACCTTCTCGTTTCTTTGTATATATATTTTTTTATCATTTATTATTATTATTTTTTTGTGACAAGAATTATATTTCATATTCCAGAGGTCGAAAGATGTTAGTTGCTTAAAGACACAAGCGACGCCATGCTTGATGACATATGCTCGGAATTGGTGGATTTGGAGCGTGCGGGGGGCTCCCACCAAAACCACCGATACTCCAATTATTCACGCACGTTGGCTTTTTTTGGATCCATCTCGACCCGTGGTTACAATTTAATTGCTATTGGGACTTCGTAAACACACACACACAAAAGAAAATAATTAATTAATTAATTAGGCGATGATGAAAAAAAGAAAATTGTGGGGTTTTGAATAGGAGCTTATAGCGAAACGGGCTCAATAATTGTAGACACCACGGCGATGCTAGCAAATTATTAGACATCGTGAAAAGGATGCGCGAGGAATGGAAGGAGACAAGAGAAGAAATCATTGTGTCCTAAAGTGCACGAGCGCAAACAATGTGGCGTGGTGGCGTGGCCCCGGTGTAGTCGAGTCCTTACAAGCCCGGCTACCGATTTTGTGCTTGTTCTTTTCTTCGAATTGGAATCTGGTCTTCCTGTTGCGGTTGACTGCTGCTTCATCAACTGGCCCGCCATGCCCATCTTCATCTAGCTTTTCCAATGTGCACGCATTTTTTACGCACCTTCTTTGATCAGGGTCGTTTCTAACCTTTTATATCTGTCTTAACCAAATCGAAAATAAGAACTCATGGATTATGTTTATTTATCAAAATAGATTGCAGTTTGTGTAAGATGAAAATGTTTAAAATACTCTTTGGTTTAATAGGTTTTAAGGTATATGACGTGGGATTGTATTTTGATAAAGTAAAATAAAGATAAACTGGTAATTAAACAGCAATTACGTAGACTATAAGTGAAAATTAAGATATTTAGATAAAGCAATTACTAAATGGTAAATACGACAATACATTAGAACAGGAAATAGTTTGGAGCATATATTTTAATATTTTCTTTTCTACACATAACATGCAACTATTTTTGGGAAGTAAAATTTTTTTGTATTACAATCAATTTATTTATGTTTTCAAATTTATTTAGTACTATCCCCCAAAACTCTTCTGTATAATATACGTCACATTTAAAATATATTTTTCTCATTTCCAATCCAAAATATTTTTTTAAGGATTTTTATAGTAAATTAATAAATAATAGTAATATTTTATTAGTAAGTAGAAATATTTAAGACGTTTTTAATATTTTTGCTCTTTAATTTTATGAATAAATTAATTATACGCGTATTTGTATGTTTGTAATTTAGGTGCAAGTTAAACAATATTTTAGTATTAGTATAAACTCCTTTTATATGCATACGTACACTATAAATTGTAAACAACATCTGGTTTTGTTAATTCCATTGCATGTCAATCAATTAATCTTGTTTATATTAGATGCTGAAAAATATCAAACAATATGTTGTCTATTGAATAATAAAATGTTGTCACACATTTTAGAAAATGCTGATTGTTTTTTTTTTTTTTTTAAGAAAATGCTGATTGTTGTATCTAGTAGTATATAACATAATATGAAATGCTCTTTCATGCACACGCAAATGCTAAATTCAATTGAACGCGATGTTAAATTTTTTTAATTAATAATAATATAAGTATTTTTATACAATAATGAATGCTAAATTTTTTTTTCA